ACCCCCTCCCCTCCACGACCCAACCCCCTCCCCGTCTCTCCACCAGCAGCTGCAGCCTCCACAACCCCCTCCCGTCCCGCCTCGCCGCACTTATACACCAATAAATCTTCCCGAAGGCCGCTACTTTGACGGGGATGGACAACTCTTCAATGACAAGGACGGGGAAGGCCTCTCCTACAGTCGGCCACAGCCTCCACCGTATGACCTTGTCGCCATCTCCTCACTCCGCTCTCTATTTTTAATTGCTTGGAACATTTGGTAGTGATAGCTGCATGTTTTACATTGGTCGTTCGTATATATAAATGCAGAATATAATCTCTGTTACACCTGTACCAATTCAATGAGGGCTAGTCCATTTGCATTGCCCATGAGACAACTATCTAGATATTCTTTGATTTATTCTCTCTCGGAACATGCTTAATAATAGAGCCAACTGCTGGCTATATCGTATTGCCATGTCACTTAGAGTTGGTTTAATAGCCCATCCAATAGTACTCCCTCCGTAAAGAAATATAAGAGCGTTTAGAGTAGTGATCTAAACGCTCTCATATTTCTTTACAAATGGAGTAGTTAGCAAAAGATATATACTACTCCATTTGTAAAAAAAATATAAGAGCGTTTAGTGATCTAAACGCTCATATATTTCTTTACAGAGGGAATACTACATTAATACATCGCTCACCTCTAACGAAAACTCTTTGAAGCTTGTGTTGCAGCCGGCTATTACTCTGCAACTCGTTTCTGTTCCCTCTCCTCCATCTCTCCTTCCACTCAGCATAAAATGTGACATGGCAACTCCTATAGCATTGCTTACATCATGTTATTATATGTTCCCTCGGTCACAAAGTTGTCCAGCTCCTATTCTTGTTCCCTACTCACTATTTGTCCAAGAGTAGCTAGATCATTAGAAAAAGAGCTATTTATCCAAGGCTTTTTTAGGGAAGCTTTGAATTCTTCTGTTTGAGAGCACGAGGCATTGTAAAAAAAATGCTCTTTTGATCCCCATCACGACCAAATATCTCTTATTCTAAAAATCTGCATTGGTTTTTTGAGTGCTTTTTAGTTACTAATAATTACTACTTTTTGTAAGAAAGGTTGGTTTTCTTTTGAGACAAGGGGTCAGGTTAACTAGTTTTTTTAGAAACACCTATAGTTTTATTCAAACTTGCAACCATTACAGATACAATGATTTCGATCCATTATCAAAGAAATTGCAAAGTAACTCCTACAACTAAGAATTACAATGAGATCTCTTGGAGGCATCTTCTCCTTGGTATCAATCTTTGCAAAATTTGCTATATTCCACCAATTTATTCATATTTTGTTTTTTCAGCTGTGAGGACACTGAGCAGGCAGTGCGTATTGAGGCCCTATCACCGCCAACCCCCTTTCCATCTGTTTCAGCATTGATGCCAACTGGATTGCTCATTAAATATTTTCTGAGAGTTGATGCTGATGGCTTATTTCACACATATCCTCATCGAGGTGGTCCATTTAAGAGCTTAGAAGAAACCCAGGAGGCCATAGACACCTATCATGCTAATCGGATTAAAATCAAGTAATGATTTCATATTAACTTCGCTTTTATTTTTTTGCGTTGAAGTATTATTTTTGATTGTTTAGCAAATTATTCTAGAAACTCAGGATGCGTTTCTTTTTCTATTTTACTGGGTACTGGTGTGATTTGATTGCTGCAAGGTGCTTGTACTTTTTCTCAGCTATGTGATTGTGTTTTCAGATTCCTTACCCAGCGTTGTTGTACGGGTCAGGACTGAATGGCCTCTTGTTGGTGATCACTGGGACCATTGCCGCTGTGATATAAGAGCAAACCATTGATTTGTTTGCAATGACTTATTCTTGTTTGGGAGTAGTAATTAGCATTCTGTCATCTATCATAAATCTAGGTACATTACCTAAGTAAGTTTCAGTCAAGATTAGTTTACCACTCATAGAAAGCATAGTCCCTTGCTAAGAAGCTGCTTTCTTTCCCACTTTCTCTTTGACAGGTTCCAATCACTATTATTGAGTTTCCTATAATGCAGAGGGATGCCCAGGTATCTAGAAGGGAAATCTCCCACGGTGCAGGTAAAAATCTGAGCATCAATGTCTTGCTTAACCAGTGCCTCCCAAAATAGAGAACTTCATTTTAAGTCCAGTCAAATGCTTAAAAACACACAGAATTATCTTAAGATTTCTAGCCCCCTCTAACTCATCCTCAAGCATAAAAATGGTGTCATCAGCATACTGCAATATGGCTAAACCATCGTTGTGCAGCTTGTCAAGCTTCATGCACTAGCCAACGCAACCAAAAGTCCGAACTGATGGAAAGGGCTAGACAATCCACATATACACTTCAACACCCCCTCTCACGTGTGATGCGGGAAGTCGACACGTGGATAGACTCAGAGACATGGCTCAAGAGGCCTATATGTGCGCAAAGGGGGGCAGCGAAAGCCAGGACTTGAACTCAAGACCTTAGCTCCGATACCATGTTAAGCTTCATGCACTAGCCAACACAACCAAAAGTCCGAACTAATGGAAAGGGCTAGACAATCCACATATACACTTCAACAAAGCTGAGGGACTGATAAGCCTTTAATGAAACCTTATTCTTGGGCTCTTTTGATAAGAGTAGCCAGAACATCGGCAGCAATATTAAAAAGTGAAGGAGAGAAGGGCTCTTCTTGCCTAAGCCCTTTCCTAGTAGCAAACTAACTACCTATCATGTCATTCAGAGTATTAGCAACCTTGCCATTGCATACAACAGCTTTAGTCCGCTGCACAAACTTCCTAGGGAAACCTTTCATTTCGAGGACTGAAAACATAAATTCGAAATTGATTTTGTCGTACGCCCTCTCAAAACCTACTTCAAGAAAAATACCAGCTTGTTTGCTCTTATTTAAAGAATGTAAAGTCTCCTGTAGCAGTACTACACTATCTAAAATATAACAGCCTGTAACAAAAGCATTATGAATCTTGGACACTACATTCTCTGCAACTAGCATAGCCCCTAGTTGGCAATCAGGGTTTTGGTAAAAAAATGTAAATGCCACATTAAGCATGCAAATAGTTCTATACATTTGGATCTTGTCAGCCCCCTGCCCCTTGGCAATCAGGTTGAAAATTCCATAGTCGAGTCTAGAGATAACAATAATACCGTCAAAGAAAACATTACAAAGCTGTAAAAGATCATTGCAAACCAGCTTCCAACATTTTTTGGTAGAACTCTGCAGGCCACATGAGCAGCAGCTAAATCTTCCAATGGGTTTTGCAGGTCCACTTTCAGCTTGTCAGGAATAAATACCGTCTTGAGCCGAACTTCTCTGTTAGGGGTTTTAGTGGCTCTACTAGTAGTCCTGACCAGTGTGGGGCTTCTGTTTTCTTTGTCATGAAGTTGCTCCCCTCCAGTATCATCATCATGTATCTGTTTCTCAGTTTTTCTGCACTAATTCCTCAATCTTCCGAGTCCCAATGCCCAGCCTTTTAGCAAAATGGTCTGGGTCTTGTGTACAACCAAAATCATCTTCTTTCTGGCTGTCATCCTCAACAGTAAAGTCTTCTGACATAGCAGAATCCTTGGTGAAATCTGAATTTACTCGTTCAACCCAGATAACACTCTCATGTTCTTGTTTCATCTCAAGCAGCTTTTTCCTTGTCTCCTTCTCAGCTAGCAAGTTCATATCCAATTCATATTGGCTGGATGCCCCTTCCTCACAGTTTTCAGTAGCAGAAATATCTTCGGAGGGAGCAACAGAGGTGTCATGCTTTCGGGATTTGCTACTGTTTCCAAGACCACCATGAGATTATTATTGATAATTCATAACAGAGGTGTCATGCTTGTACTTTTTCTCAGCTATGTGATTGCGTTTTCAGGTTCCTGACCCAGTGTTGTTTTACGGGTTGGACTTACTGGCCTCGTGTCAGTGATCACTGCTGCCGTGATATAACAGCAAACCGTTGATTTGTTTGCCACAACTTTTCTTGTTTGGTACCTTGGTAGTAGTAATTAGCATTCTGTCATCTAGTAGCAATCAAGTTTGCTGGGCGCTCATTGGTTGCAAGAACAATGATGCATTTTGTGGTAATTAATCACAAGAGTTGTTTGGTCATCTCTTATTTATTTTTGTAATTGTTATCTGAACTAGGTACTTGGGTGAGCTTTCCAAAGAGGACAGGTATGTTTGGCATAAACTATATTGGCGTGATGGAACAAGGAAGAATTCGAAGGAAGCTTTGGATGCAATGATGAACCTTGACCCCACTTTGGAAGTAGTTAAATGTTTACTAGACAAGCATAATGAGGAACACCATCTTTTCGAGGTTTGTTCTCTACCTTGCTCTCTCTTTCCATTTTTTTTATCGCCGCTCTCCCTCACTACCTTTCTTATGTTTTAGGATCTTGCATATGAAGTCAAAGAGGTTGTGAGTTACAAAGCTCATTTTCCGGAAAACGATTCTCAATATGAATGCAGGTCCTTCTCACATTTAAATGTGCTTGCAAAAAGAGGATTGAATGACGACGGGAATCTTCTCTTCATTGAAATCACATGCACAGATGGTGAATTTGAGGAGTATGCGCTTACTTGTCTTTCTGCGGTTTCGTCCGATGATAATGGTATGTTTGCATTTGGCTATTTAATCTCCCATCCAGTATATCAATATGCAAGTTACTGAAAATTGCATTATGTTCACACTTTGTATCACCGAGTGCCATATTCAGAATTCACCATAACAATATTATGTTGCGTTATTTTCACTTGCTGCCGGCGAGATGTTGCAGAGCCACCGCCGCCTCGCTGCTGGCTGCTGCATCTAGAGAACAGTGGGCATCTAGTCAGCATTGTTTATAAAGCGTCCTGCTTCAGACGCTTAAGCGATAAGGCGCCCTGGCAGTGCCTTAGAAATATGCCTGCTTTAGGCGCTTAAATGTGCGTTTAGGCGCTTAGGCGTTGCTTAAGCATCCTTTAGGTTGCTTTACCGCCTTATAAACCATGCTAGTGAGCCGTTATCTTGTGAGCTATGGTATATGGTACATCAATATCTGTAGCATTAGAGAGAAAGGGAGGAGGAGCAGGAGCACAAGTTGCTGCTGCTGCCAGCTGCCGCTGCGTGAGAGACCGAGAGGAGTCAGGGGTGACGTGGAGGAGGTGAGGAGCGAGTGGGACTGGGGCAGGATCGCAGGAGCCCTCCGCAAGCTCGCCGCTGGCCTGCTGCTGCCGCTGTTTAGGTCGGGAGGGAAATGAATTGGGGAGGGATTGTGCTGGACTGGGGTACCACCATGATAAGTAGGGTTAGTCTTACTCTTACTGGGCTGGGCTGTATCGGGATAGTATCATGGGAGGTATCCAGCACGTATCGGGAAGTATCTTCTTTGTTTTTGTTGCGTTAATCGCGGATACTTCACTGATACGTATCAGCCACGGATTCGCTATGCCCAGGACATGTCGGTGTTTCTTAGGTGTTCATTAGCTGTTTCAGATTTTCCACCAGAATGTTAACTATATTGGAGCATGTCTAAAGTTTCATAAGCTTAGCCAAGTGCCATTCAGTATATCAGTATGCAAGTTAATAAATTCTTCCATTCAGTATTATGAATATGCAAGTTGATAAAGTTTTGTGTTATTTTCACACTTTGTATCACCGAGTGCCATTTAACTAAGTGCTAGCTGTTTTCACACTTTGTTAATTCACTTGAAGAGTAGGTGTGTTCGCTGCGCCGGTAAAGATAACAATGAAAAATTCAGAATTTGGTCACAACAACATGGGAGTAGGTGTGTTCGGTAGCTGTTTCAGATTTTCCACCGGAATATTAACTACTCCGGTTAATATTAGAGCATGTCTAAAGTGTCATAAGCTTAGCTTAGCTGGTTCTCCGGTTATTCTTAGTTATGATAAAAAGAGCATACCGATACCTTATGCATTAGATATTGATTAACAAAACTAGACCATAATTGTAGGTGAGTGCTGTGAATGTGGTGATGATGTGAAGCATCCCACTGGTGTGGAGTACAAAAAGGGTGAAGCCAAGCCCCATGGTCGATGCAAGTGCATTAACAGGCCTATCTCAGATGAAGCATTTAACAAGGTATTATTTTGTCAGCAAAAAACTTGGAATCCCATGGATGTGCAGATGAGTAATTGTTAGTTTCATGTCTTTTTTCCTTTCCTTTTTTTGCAGTTTATCGTTGTGCGTGATGAGGATTCCCTGGAGGCGGAGGAGGCTAGGGTGAGACGGCAATTCAGGATACGCAGCATAGCAGATGGCCATGGAGCGAGGGGCAAATACATCGTACCGGCGAAACGTGTGCAAGCATAGATGTAGAATCATTAAGGTTGTGCTGCGTTTGTTTTGGATACCAGTGATGCTGAGTAAGTAGCATGTGAGTCTTTGGCATCTTGCTTGCTGACGTAGAAGCCTCAGCTCATTTGGGTGGAGGATAAGCTGGTGCGAAGGTCCTGTGCAGAACCCTTGTTTATGGTGGAATATCTGAAACAGCTAATGAACACCTACGTTTTGGGGGAATAAGCTGGCAAAACCAAAGTGGCTTTTTCAGTGCAATGTGTTTTGTTGTGTCAGTGAAGTGTTTTTCAGTGCAATGTGTTTTGTTGTGTCAGTGAAGTGTTTTCCAGTGCAATGTGTTTTATTGTGACAGTGAAGTAGTCATAGAAATGTGAGATACATGCGTGACAAGAGAACTTTTTTTTTTTTGAAACGACAAGAGAACTTTGAGTCTGGCGCCCAAGCTTTTGTCAAATTGTGTACTCAAACCTAAGTGGAGTATAATTTATTCACAACCAACACTGTACTTTGTACTCCCTCCGTATCAAAATAGAAGTATGTTTTTTTTGTCTAAATTTAGACCAGAAAACATTGTATATTTTGTTAGAGGAAGTATATCTTATAGCAATCTAACTTGAAGTACACTGAAGAATGTTGAAGCGTCTTGCCTCATCAGAGGAGACTCTGCGTGTTATATGGCAGGTGCTTATCCTTGGATATGCATGTATCGTTGGAGTATATCTTGGAGAAGATCTACAGAGGGAGATTGCTAGAAATAAACTAGGCTACGGTAACAAGACATAAATGTTAGGTCTGACTATGTCATATCTAAGTATTTGTTTATGGCCCCCTGTTTTTCTTTTTTGTTGAGCGACATTTTTTTCACTTGTAATATTAGTTCGAACGTTAAAAAGCCGAAAAACTGGCTATCCACTTGACACAATTAGATCTCATGGCTATTAGGTAGCTCGGAACCTAATGAAGTCATAAGCAGTGACAGATCTGAGGCTTTTTTGAAACTTCAAAACAATAGTTTTTCTAAAAAAAAAGTAAGCATTTTTTGAAATGTGAACCTTATTAAATAATAAAAAACATTTTTTGAAAACATAAACCTTTTTTGAATCTTTGAATAATTTTGAGCATGAACATTTTTTAAACATGAAAATCTTTTGTAAACAACAATATTTTTGGAAAATGGGAACAATTTTTTAAACTCGGAACAAAATTTGAAAATGTAAACATTTAAGTATGATACCATCCCACATCTAGGGCTGCAAACGAGTCGAGCTCGAGTGAGTTGGGGTTGGCTCAGCTCAACTCATATGAAAATTCGAGCGAGCTCAAACTGAGTGAAGCTGATGATCGAGCTATAGAACATGACTCGTGATCATCTTGTAACGATCTCGAGTCGATCTCGAGCTAGTTTCGAGATAAATGAGATGGTAAAAATTATAAATCTATGGATGAAAAACAAAAAAAATTAAGGTGAATATGCTGGAAACCTTTGCCAAAAATATATAGGATATTTAACACATAGTCGACCACATGCCATAATTAGGCCTAAATCTTCTCTGCACTCAATCAAGTTTTCATGTTCGTTGGTAAATAAAATGGAGAAAAATTATGGACAACATATATGGTAATAAATCATCTTATTTCCATTTCATATATGGCATGATCATTTAACATAATGATATTCGTCAAGCTATTGAGCTAAAATTGAGCCAGCCAACATTGGCTCAAGATCTGCTCGTTTCTTGGGCGAGCTACATAAAGTGTTCAAATTCAGCTCGTTTATTTTCGGGTCGAGTCAAAAAATGGTTTGATCTCGAGCGGCTCACGAGCCTCGAGCTTTTCTTGCAACCCTACCCACATCAGCAGATAAACAAACCCCCACTGTTGCATTTTTGTTTGGTTTGTCTCCTTTTTGCGCTGCTTGTATGTCGCCCATGATACCCAGCCCAGAACGATGGGAGCTTCTTCGACGGGGCTGGCCCATTGGTGTCAAACTGATAGTGAGCGGTCGTGCGCAAAAAAGAATGTGCCGCGGGTTCTTCGATTTGAACTGCATACCTCCTGTTGGACCACGCATCTTGCTAGCCACTGCAAGCGACGAGTTGTCGTGACAAATGAGTAGCGTGAGGTCTAAAGAACTAATGCCAGCGACGTAACTGAACATCACTTGAAGGCTTGGAAACAATTTACAATTGCAAACAAATTTTCAAATTCGAGCACTCTCTCAAAGTTATGAACATTTTTTTGTCAAACGTGGGCAATTTTTAAAATTTCAAAAAATAAATAATAAAAATTGTGAAGAAAATTTAAATTCTCAAATATTTTTTGAATCTGTAATTTTTTTTGAAAACGATAGCGTATTCTGAACAATTTTGAAAATAAGAATGTTTTTTGAATTGGTGAACACAACTTTTTAAAGAGATATTTTTTAAAATTCTCTAACTTTTTTAAAAAATACGAACATTTTTTGAATTGATGAACAAACTAGCCTTATATACAAAAAATATGACTCAAAAGGGTGTATCTCATTTATATACAACTACGAGATTTCAAAAAAAGGTGGGGAACTAACTCAATGGGTTGGGAACTGAAAATCATATAAATGATGGCTTTTCCAAAAAAATACATGAAAACTTGGGCCCCATGGTCTTGGTTGCATATTTTAAAAAAATGAGTCAAAGGTGGGCTTGCAACTGGGACGTATTTTTAAAAATGGGATGGGCCCAAAAATTAAAAACAATGTTGAGCAGGTAAAAAGGGCAAAAAGGTGGACTAGTACCGTGAGGGTTGGGGCTCACATTTTACGTATTGAAGATGGAATTGTACCTGGGATAAAAATCGATCGCTCACCCAGTTGCAGGTTGATGTGAACTTGTAACTGCAATGAAAAAACATGAAGCCCAATTGCAAGTCAATGGTGGAATTGCAAGTGGGGCGAAGAATAAAAAGGGATAGCCTACTCGTAAAAATGAGGGTGGGGTTGTAACTAAGGCAACAAATAGAAAAGGTTAGAAAAACCCAATTGCATGTTGGCGGTGGGCTTCTAACTGGGAGGGAGAACAAAAAAGGTTGGTGTTGGTTCTAAGCCCATGATGGACTTGCAAACCGAGGCAACAAAAAAACTACGAGAACAATTGCGATTCGAGGGTGGACTTGCAACTAGGACAACTATGAGTTGTGAATCGATGGTGGACTTGCAACTGGGATGAAAACAAACTACAATCCCAGTTGCGAGTCGAGGATGGACTTGCAACTGGAATGTAAAAAAACAATGGGCATGTTACGAGTCGAGGGTGGATTTGCGACTGAGAAAACAAGACAAAACTACGATACCAGTTACGAGTCGAGGGTGGACTTGCAACTAGGATAAAAACAAATGGCCCATTTTGCAACTCGAAGGTTGAACTTGCACCTAGGAAAACAACAAAACCATGGGCCCAGTTGCGAGTCGAGGGTGGACTTGCAACCGGGACAACTACACAAACTACGAGGGCTGGTGCGATTCAAGGGTGAACTTGCAACTGGGAGAACTACGAGCCTAGTTGCGAATCGAGGGTGGGCTTGCAACTGGGATGAAAACATATTATAGTCCCAGTTGTGAGTCAAGGGAGGACTTACAAGTGGGATGGAAAACAAACTATGGGTCTAATTGTGAGCCGAGAGTGGACTTGCAACTGTGACAACTACACAAAACTACGATACTAGTTGCTAGACGAGGGTGGACTTCCAACTGGAACAATAACAAACTACGAGCCCAGTTGCGAGTCAAGCATGGACTTGCAACTGGGATAAAAAACAAAACATATGCCCAGTTGTGAATCGAGGCTGGACTTGCAACTGGGATAAGTGGAATTATGAGCTCAGTTGTGAGTCAAGGCTGGACTTACAACTATGATGAGAACACGAGAGAGAGAGAGAGATCAAACACATAGCTACTGGTACATACCCTCAGCCCCGAGGGTGAACTACTCCCTCCTTGTCATGGAGAGCGCCGGGATGATGAAGATGGCCACCGGTGAAGGATCCCCCCTCCGGCAGGGTGCAGGAACGGGCTCCCGAGAGGTTTTTGGTGGCTACAGAGGCTTGCGGCGGCGGAACTCCTGACCTATCTTTTTCGTCGATGTTTTTAGGGTACGTATGCTTATATAGGCAAAAGAAGTCGGTCGGGGGAGCCTCGAGGGGCCCACGAGAGGGTAGGGCGTGCCCAGGGGGTGGGCGCGCCCCTGTCTCGTGGCTCCCTCGATGATCCCCTGGCTTGCACTCCAAGTCTCCACGATCATATTCTTCCTAAAAATCACGCTGCCGAAGGTTTCATTCCGTTTGGACTCCGTTTGATATTCCTTTTCTTCTAAATACTAAAACAAGCAATAAAACAGCAATATGGGTTGGGCCTCCGGTTAATAGGTTAATCCCAAAAGTAATATAAAAGTGTATAATAAAGCCCATAATCATTCAAAACAGATAATAAAATAGCATGAATGCTTCATAAATTATAGATACGTTGGAGACGTATCAGCATCCTCAAGCTTAATTCCTACTCGTCCTCGAGTAGGTAAATGATAAAAGAAAGAATTTATGAAGTGTGAATGCTAGCAGGTGCACAAGTTTGATCAATGATAATTTCAATCACCTTTTCTAGCATGATAATATGTCATAACAGTAGTTCATCTCATAAAACTTCTCACGAACAAGCAACAAGCAATTCACATGTTAAAGCATAGACTATAAACTTTCTTGAAAACAAGCAAACTTCATTCTTAGTCATCAAACAATTGCAATTCATCTTATTTTCAGGAATAGCAAACTCCACATACTCAACTATCATATAGTCTTCTACAATTGCTAACACTCACGCAATACTAATGGTTATGGAGTTTCAATCGGACACTGAGAAAGATAGGGGCTTATAGTGTTTCCTCCCAACGTATTCACCTTTGGGTGATGTCAACAATAATAGTTCATGCTAACTTACATCCAATTGGATATATATATCAGGATCTTTCTGTCACGCCCAATATGCG